ATTTAAATTAATATAAGATTACATGATCGTTGGTTAGTCTAATAATAGTAATAGTTTTATGTTGCTTAGCTATTGGAAGATAAATAAAGTTTTTAGATGACGCGTGTTATCTTAATTTTCGAGTGGACCCCACACAATTTCTTCAAATAAAAAAATCTGAGGGAAAAAAATTGAGTACAAGGAGTTACTGTATTAGTCGTAAAAAAAAGAAATAAAAATTTGACTTAGGGTTTTAGTTTTCAGTGAACTATTAACTTTTATTTTTAATTTACCTTCAATAAATTAAATCATTGTATTTCAGTAAAATTGGTTGAACAAATAACATATTATTATTGTTATTATTATGTGCAAAAACAATCTTGAATACTGTAATTTTGGGACAGTAATAGAATTAAAATACTGTCTTGGTTGCATTAAACTGCACAAGAAACAGTTTTGAGAGTATTTTTATAATCAGAGACAAGTTTAGTGGTTTGTTTATGGTGATGTGAGTTGTTTGTTAGTGAAGCAAGTGAAACATTCATCTGACATGAATTGTTTTTAGTGAAGAGAGAGAGATAAGAAGCACAATGTTATATATTCCATAGTTGATGTCATTGAGAAAAATAGTTGTTCTCATGAGAAGTTGAGTCGAGACACAATGATTGCAAAAAAAAATGAGCTCTATCATGTTACTTTCTCAGATCTACAAACTGTGCAGAATGCTCTACCTGATGGGACACAGAAGCTGAGAACAAAACTGGGCCATAATGAAGGACCTGTCTACTACAAATTTTCTCAAACTCTTCATTAGACAACACAAATTGCATGGCCACCACACTACACAAATTTGGAGCTTTATCAGGGTTGATTCCCCCATCCAATGCAAACCCTTCGATTAAGGATCATATAATATCATATCATATCATATATCAGATGCTGGCTGCTATTTAGTTAAAGGTGGAAGAACCTGGAAAGGAGAAAAAGAAAGGTGACGATGATGAAGGAACATAGCAAATTGGAGGAGAATTGTGTGCAAATGGGGTCATAAAGTGTGGATTATGATATGTAACAAAACCATGACCAAGGGCTTTTTTAAAGTGTGAGTTGCTTAGTTTTCATGGCATTCTGATTGAGGAGGGGGACCCCATTTGCAGAAATAGCTCATGGATTCAGCAAGTGTCTATTTTTGAGGTCCCATGGAAAGATAAACAAAACAACTTGGTGTACATATATACTTAGTGGTATCCAAATTTTAGCAGTTAGTTGACTACCTTTAGTTTTGATGCAGGGGACCACAGCAACAACATTTATTTGTAGCTTGACTAAAGATAAAGCCATCACAAACAAAAGTGGAGGGTACATATTCAATTTTCATGACATTTTTCCTTTTTTCAGGACATGTAAAAAATAAAAAAAAAAGCTAAAAATTGTTAAGTTAAGCATTTCCTTTCCACCTGTGAATAATTACTATCTGATGACAGCAGAAAAACCATGAGGAAGTGATTTGTAGTTTGAGAGAAGGAAAGACTAAAGTAGCAACTAATCATGCATCAGCTAACCTTTTCAGGCTTATGCATGCTCACCCAACATGTTGATTTTGGTAAAATCTTGTGCTTTGGTAATCATGCAAGCACTCTAGGAGGCTATAACATAATGTAAGCTATTGAAAAACAAGGAAAAAAATATGACCTAATCTAGTTGAATAAATCTTCTCCATCAAAAGGTAGCATGCTATAGGCTAGGGATGCATCTTAATTTAAGTCCTTTCATAGCAACTAATTATTACATTTTAAACAATGAATGGCTCACATACTACAAATTATAGCCCTGCCTTTGCACATCAGCACAATAAGAAAATCCACACAGATATGTTATGTTCCATCTATAATAAAAAAAAGGACCCTTTTCATGTACCAAATGTCCAAGCAATTAATAAAGGAATTATGCATGATGAGAAAAGAGCAACTGTATTACTTTAAAGGTAGACAGTCACTTTTACCAAAACTATTTTTTCTTTTTACAATTAATTTATTATATCACTGTATGGAAGGTAATAATTTTTCATAAGGTAACCAATCACCTCTAGATATCAACTTTTCTTTTTTATTTAATTTTACCCCATTCTTGTTGCTTTTGGTTTGACCAATATTGTACAATAGATTCATATATAAGTAACTACATATATGTGTGTATATATATATATATATATATATGAACAGGCAGACATACTGTGAAAGCATACAAGGGCTTCTATCATCTTGCAATTATCTTGTTAGTTATGCCGTAGGTTCTCATAAGCTTTCTTCTAAACTAATTAACCTGTGAACAATGACAAGTAAGAACAGTTAATGAAAATTATAGCATATGAATTCTCAAGATAAAATTATTTTTCTATAAAAGATAGGAATAAAAAGAAGTGGAAAACTGTAGAATGCCATGAAATTGTGTTGGCATATTTTTTGTTGATGCAGTACTGAAATTAAGCACTCAGTAGAAGTTCTATCATATAAACCTGACATATACTATGAATAGCAGAGAAAATGAGAACAACTTTTGCAGCCAATCTCACAGAGGTATGCAACAGAAAAAATCATATATGCAAGGGAAGAATGTTATCAAACACAAGGGGTTTGAATAAGTTATGGAGCAAGGACTATTCATGCAGGTTATTCAATATAAAGAACTGGTGACTGTTGTAGAAAAAGGTTCTGTTGGTGTCTACAATGTACAAGGTGACAAGTTAACATCTGTTTGTCACCATCTTATTACCGACAGGAAAAAGGTGTAACTTCTCCATATAATTGATGTGGTATGCTCATGTTAATGTTCGTCAAAGCAAGGAGAACTACGCAAATGGCTTACCCATTTTGCCACTCACAGTCTCATCAATATTTGCTGCTCCACTCATGTTTCCACTGCTGTTGCTGGGTGTAATCATTGTTTGACTATGTTGTACTGCCTGGGGACCATATCTAAATACATTGATTGGCTTCAAGACAAAAGTGAAAAACAGGGAAAATTAGTTTCAATAGGTAAACTATGGGAAGCTTATCAAGAACACATAAGGGGTTTTAGGAGGGAAAAAGAGAAATAACTTTCTCTTGAAAGAAACCTGTTACCTGAGAAGCATTTTGCATAAGTTGATAGCCCATGTAACGTGCATATTGCTCTGAAAGAGCTGGATTTTGCATCTGATTTTGGTAATTAAAGGCACCCAAAATAGGATTTTGACACATCAATGTCTGGTTTGGTGTCTGAGATGAAGATACTGGATGATCAAGAGGTACTCGTGGTAATTGCATTGGATTTTGAATGGGAGGGAAAGGAGAAGTAGCCATTCCCATACCCATTTGAGACATATAGTGCTGAATTCCTGGAAACATCATTGGTGCCATGCCAGATCCCATCCACATTAGCTAGCACCAAGAACAAAATTGTTTATTTCATTTGTTAGTAATGTGAGACAAATTTCATGTGCAAGATATTGTGTGGCACATTTACCTGAAGTTGTAACTGAAGTGATTTCAAATATTCTATTGCCTCTTCCAACATTGATGCTTTGTCTGTCTGCAGATACATTCCTTACTTAGTTTTCAAGACAATATGATAAGATCATATAAAGTGGAGAATCAATATCTAAGTACTTGCATTTTGTCTTCTTCACTTGATTGCTTCACTCAATTTTTTTTGTCCAAATCTGATCCAATTGTTTTATGCTAAATATGGCTCTCAACAGAAGTGATTTTCATTATCCTTAAAAAATCAACAAATTCCTTCTTTCTTCTTTTTTTAAAGCAAATTTCACACATTCTGTGTTGACTGTGTCACTTTAAACGGAGCAGTCAGAGAATCACAATTGCAGCTTTATCTGACTCTGAATGCATTTCCAAAGAACAAGTTATGACAGTAGAGTCCACATTCATTATTATAACTAACCTTGCTACTGTGAGGTATGAGTTGTTGCAATGCTTTCATCTTCTCATTGATCCTATCTCTCCTTCTCTGCTTCAACAAAAAACACTGGCACTTGTGAGAACAAAGTTTACAAAAATTAACTTCACAAGAAATGTGCTAAAATTCCCACCCTTTCTGATAGATTATGCACTTCAGCAGCACGGTTCCTTCTAGCCGACCCTGTCCTTTGAGATGTCTTGTTGCCAACTGGTGATTTAAGTTCTGTGTCCTATTACACATAAAGATGTAGTTCAGTGTCAAAGAATAAAAGAATCTAATCATGAAGATAATAACTACAGAGAGTGCAGCTTCACCTCACTATGATCCTCAGATTCTTCCACGTCTATTGTTTTTCTTTTTTGGCTCTGGTTTCTGGTGGATAAGGAACAAGTTTTTCCTAGACTAGTACCTGAGCCACCAGAAGACGAAGTAGCAGTTGGTTCAAGCTTCTCTGATTTCCCTTTCTCACTCAGAGGAATTGTTCTTGGCACATCATCTCTGACAGCTTCAGGGTCAACAGATAAAGTAGTAGTCCAAACACCATTGCTTGATGCCCTGCTAGCATCTGGATCTTGGGTCATGTGATTGCTACCACAGTAACTTGATCCAACTGTCATCAATGAGCACTCTCTAACCTCATTTTTTGACATGTTACCAGTGATTTTGTCTCTAAAACGCCCATTAGGCAATGCTGAAGAAACATTAAGGGTAGGTGAAAAGTGAGAGAAGTTTTGAACCTTACATGGTCCACCACCCAAGTCATTATTATTTTTCTGAGGTGAATCAGAAACATGGAATCTTGGAGCAGGTATAGGAATTCCTGAGAGTTCCTGAAAAGAGGAGGATTTCATAGTAGGTGATTGTGAACTTACAAGCACATGGGGGGCACCAGAAGCATCCAATTTGGTAAACTTTGCCTCTTCAAATGGCTTGATTTGCTTATAGGACTCAACATCACACTGTGGCAGTTCAGATAAAAGGTTTGAACAGAATTCTTGTTCCAATGGATCCTCAAGAGGGTATTGGATCCATGAGACTGTCTCATCATCTTGAATCAAGTTACTTGAGTTCCCAAATGGCTCACTAGTCCTTAGTGTTGATTGAAAAGCCCTCTGAAGAGGTCTCGGTGTGATCGAATTCACTACTGGTTTTCTATGTGTTTGGCTGTGCAACACTACCTGACCATTTTGCCACAGAAGCTCCACAAGTTCTTGGTCCACCCTGTAGAATTTGACCACATCACATGGATTGTTACAATTTAAGCAGAGTTAAATTGGGACAAGAACAGTATTCTGCTTTGACAGAAATAAATTGCACACACCCCATAGGCTTCTTTTGATTGTTGGTGATGCAGGAATCACTCCCAAAATTCCAATCAGGAACACTGTTGTTCATGGCTAAGCAAATCAGTTATCTGTTGGCACTAAAAGAAAAGAACTTTAGATTTGGTGTAGAATAGAAAATCATAACCAAAGACCCTTTTGAGTGATTTTGTAATATAATAGAAAAATCATAAGCAAAGACCCTTTTGAGTGCCGGATTTTGACTCCTTATGCAAACACACCCTTTAAAAGCATAATAAAATAATCTGTACCAGAAAACTGAATAATCAAATAAGCATAAACAAATCTTTAAAATGAAAAATAAAAAAAGGAATAGAAAGAGAAAGACTTTGAGTGGGTCACGTTTGGAACTTTACTAGAAGAAGAGTGAACAAGCAAACCAATGAAATGGAACCATGACTGGTTTTTGCCATTCTGAACTCTGAATAAATAAATCACCAAATAATTCAATTCCCAAGCTCCCAAAAAGGAAAATTCAACTCTCGGCCATAGATAGAAAGTACGAGCACATTTACAAACCCAGAGAAACAAAAACCGATGAAAAACAAGAATCTAAACAAAACATTAAACCCAACAAATTTAGCATATTTTGAGACAGGAAGCTCAACTAACTCTGCAAGCCTCATAAACAAACCCAAACTCAAAGAAAAACAGCTTTCCATAACAAAAAGCACACTTTGAAAACATAGAAAATGATGAAACTTTTTTCACTTTCATGAAAAAATAAAGAACCCCATGATTCATTTTAATCATTACCATTATTTTCAACATAAAGACAAGTAGCAGAAAAATTAGAACTCCACCTGAGCTAAGGGCAAAGGCTGTTTTTTTTTTTTTTTCTGACTTGTTGAACTTAGAAGGTTTCTACAAGCTCGAAACAGAGGCACCTCGTTTGTTCTCTCTTTCTCTGTCTCTACAACTATGAGAACTAAGTATATAGAAGAGTTTTTAACAGCAATAAAGACAGTGACATCAGCACACACAGAGAGAGAGAACACACAATTCCTAAGGTAAAATGGTGCTTGTGCTTCTCAACTGCGAGAAAAACATTGCTACATGGGAATAAATGAACATGGGACCAGTTGACGGCTATTAGAAATAAAAATAAAATCGTAAGAAAATTCAACAGATTTGGTCAAAATGAAAATATTATTAAATTTTAAGAATTAAAAAAAAACTTGAATTAGCATGGACTGAAGTTTCTTATACTACCATAAAATCACAAATTTTATATAATCAAAGTACTTCTGCAGTAACTATTTTAAATAAATAATGATACTTTAATAATATCTTTTTATAACATTTTAATACTATACTAACGTACCACGATTGTTTATATTAATGTTTATGATTATTATTATTAATTATAAAATAATTTTAGACCAATCACATAATAATACATAAATAAATAATATTAAAATGTTATAAAAAAAATTTTCTCGCATATTATTATCCATTTTAAATATCATCTTTAAAACAAATTTTAATGACTTTAAAAATACAACAAAATATGCAGAATACATGTTGTGATTGTTCAATGATTACACATATTAATTAAATTATATTTTTATGAATTAAAACAAGTTTTTATAGTATTATTTGTTGGTAACACGGATCATTTGATTTTTCAAGAATCAATTTGACGTTTACTTCACATCGTAATCATAATCATTATATGTAACAGTAACATAAATAATTGTGGTCTCTTCTTCTACATAAATGGGTTTAACATATCAAACATAATAAATCTATTTATTTATTTTATTTCATACTTGTAGAAAAGAAAAAAATTAAAAATATTTTTTATAATTTGAAAGTAATTCATAGAGAAGTTAATTTTTCAAAATTTTCTGAAATAACACTTTTCAAATTTTATTTTTATTTGCTCATCTGGGTTTGGATGCATATTTAAAATGAAAGGAAATCTAAAGCTTGAAGCACATGGTGGGTGCTATCTGAAGTTTCATGGAGGATGATGCCACTTGGCAGTGACAAGCTGTATATCCATTGGAGAAATGATAAGGGACAGTGGTGTCAGAAAAAGATGTGGCTATCATCCTCTAAGAACAAATCCCATATTATATGTTATTATTTTTAGTTGTTAAAAAATCATTTTAAATTAATATATTTTAGTATTTTTCACAACTACTGTTGTTGTAGTGTGAGAAATTGCAGAGAAATTGCAGGTGTGTATTGTTGCAGATAGCAATTGTTGCAGATAGATTATTATATGAAGTTGGAAGACTGAACAAGAAGAAAGGTATTTTAGTTTTTTGGAGCAGAAGTCGATATTCTGGTTGTAAGAAACTGTTGAAGAAGGAGCTGACAGGTTTCCATTTTTCATGGGCACAGTTGCACCACCCTTCCTGGCATGTGCCCGATAGGGCATACAACAAGTTATTGTTGTCAAAGTTTTTGATAGGATAAGACTGGAAATTAAACTACTTTTTTTTATTTTTACTTTTATTACTTTTATAATTGGTTTAATTTAGTTTTAACTTATTTAATAAAGAGAAGAATAACTATGTATTCACTAGGTTAAATCCGCAGTTCTTTACGTGGATTTTTCTCAATTTTTTTTATTGACCGGTAAGTTTTTTATACGTGACATAAGCAAGGTGTTACATGAAA